CGTCGTTCGGATCGAATCTACAAAAAAAGATATTAAACCTGAAAACGATGGATCGCACTAGGCTAACTAACTCAGCAAGTTTTTCAAGATATTTGGCTGCGGCAGCCGCATTTCCCCTGGAAGACTCAAGCATAGCCGCTTGGCTGAGCATCTTGCTTTCAGTTTTTCAAGGATTGAGGGCAGACCCCATTGCGTTGCCATTTCAGATGCTGAACGAAGCAATGGAGCATACGAAGGATCAGGAAGTACGAAAGGAGATGCTCAGCCAAGCGGCTATGCTTGAGTCTTCCAGGGGAAATGCGGCTGCCGCAGCCAAATATCTTGAAAAACTTGCTGAGTTAGTTAGCCTAGTGCGATCCATCGTTTTCAGGTTTAATATCTTTTTTGTAGATTCGATCCGAACGACGTCAAGGTGCTTTGTCGATTAATACGCGCCTATACTGATTCGGATCCTAAAAAGGCCGAGCAACTGAGTGCTCAGGTGGGTTTCTCTTTGCTGACGTGTATGGATGTGGGGTTACAGGGCTTCTTCAACCGTAGGTTCTCTCGCTGCGAGGTATAACCTCCTCATCGCATCCTTTGACCCAGAGGTATCGCCTGATTGCATCTTTTGACCGAGTTTTCAATGGAAGGAAATCATGTAGAGGAAAGAGAGGATTAAGGAAAGAAAGGAGCGAGGAAAAAGGTGAGGGGGAGTAAGGCTCCCTGATGGACTGATATCCGGAGATTACGGCGTAGTGTTGTGCCAAGCGACACCGCTCGTTGTTCACTTGGTTCGGGGTCAGATCTATCGGCTCTCGCCCGAAGCAACCATGTCTTCCATCCTTCGGGGGTTAGCCAGTTAGTACCACATTTTTTTGGGAAGGTAAAAACACTCTAGTACGCATCCGCTGGACTCGTTGTATGGATTACATCGCCCTAAAAATGCCAGGTTCTGGATGGCAATAGATATGTGGCGCATTCCAAAGGGGATGGACCTATTCCGAGATGCTTCAGTTGTTATCCTTCATAATTAGCTGGGTCAAAACTGTTGAACTCAGGAAAGTTCTGCTGTTCCCTTCTGCGTTTGTCTTCCTGAGTCAAATAAAACTTCAGGAAAGTGTTTTAGGTGTTCCCGGAAACAACAGAGGAAAATATGGATGTTGACAACATTGAAGAGAGTGATTGGATTCTCTACGGCGAGAAATATAAGCAGAAAAAGGAGGCCAAATCTGAAGTGGAAGACACCGTATGTCGCGAAATTTCAAAGTTTTCTGAATCGTTTTAGAATTTATCTTTCAAGGAGATTGTGACAAGAAAGCTGAAGAACCGCAAGCGCAAAAGAAAGGTGAAACTTCCAAAGAACTATGATCCTAATGTGCAGCCAGATCCTGAAAGGTTGGTTGTTTTTGGGAAGGTTTTGTGGTGTGTGTCAGTGTGACTGCATTCTTGCTTAGCTACTGGAGCGATTTTGAGAATTGCAAGACTATGAGAGGCGCGCTCCATCGCTAATCATTGGATTGCTGCAACTGCAAATCCAGTCTTATTCAAGGAAGAACGTCTTCTGGTCGCTGCAGCGGTCCGTACATTGCCGAGGGAGCGCGGTTAGGTGCAGTCGCGCGATTGAATCACCCGAGTAGTGAAGTATGGACGTGGCTCGAGATGAGATTTCATTCAGATGGCTGCCTAAACAAGAACGTGCTGCCTATAAAAAGAGGCAGAAGAAGAATCGTGATCGGGACATCGGCAGAGGTACCCAAGGTTCGGCTGCAACCAATCCCAACGTGTAAGCATTAAACTCTTTTCTACTCTGTCTTGGTAATGTTGTTGTGGTCACGGGAGGTTTGTTTTAGTGAGTTCACTACGGCTTCTCCAAGCTCGCCATCACCGATGGCCACAATGCCTGAAGGACCGCGTCAGCTGCGTCCTAAACAGCAGCCTAAAAAGAAGAAGAAGCCATCCAAATTTTAGAAAAGAGGCTTTTTGTTGAATTTATTTAGGACAGATTTTTTGCGTTATTAATGGTATTGGTTTCAGATTTCATTGTATTCCTCATTTTCAGTGGTGTTGCCAAGTGTTGCAGATGAATTAATTTATTCAGTTTGTTCAGAATAAATATAGACAAAGCATCACACAGTCTTGGGCATTATATGTCCTATTGTGATTGGATCTTTTCCTGGCACTCTATAAAAAGTTAAGTGCACATTCTGCGGTATTGGGATAGGCGGAGACATTGGTGCTAACGTAGTCAAGCGGGGCCATGCGGCACCGCTTCTGTGGCTCTCCCCTAGCCTGACTTTGGCAGAGGGCGCAGATGGTGGGTGGGAGTCGCATATAGACTCTTCTGAGAGTAATTTCAGGGGAAGGCGTGCAGAGGCGCTTTCGCTTAGCCCCATTCAACTACGTCAACTCCGAGACATCAACCCTACGCCTTCGTTATTGCAAGCGTCTCGGCTGGTGCTTCCGCCTTCCCGGTTGTCGCGTAATCGCATGTGCGGAATCATCAACCGCCCGTCCGATTGTGGCTTTGATCTACCCGATCGATCTGGTCTTGGTTCTCTGAAGCTGTACCCATTGAGTGAGGCTCATCGTGAAAAATGATCAAACTCATCTACTCAAGTTTTGCCCATAGCAGGGGGACCTTATCCGTTACGAGTGCGATTGGGAGATGCGCATTGAGGCGACGTGCGAAAACAAGTGTTCCTAGCTAGTTGACTCGACAGTGTGAAGCAATGCAAAGTTGAATTAGTTGGGTCCTGACGCGGACGCGATTCACCCGACGATGCTCACAGCACCGGTTTCGCACCGTCGCCGAAACGTTCACATCCCAACCGAAACTCAGAAAATGACCACAACTGTTGTGAAGTCGTCCACAGACAAGGAAACACGTCCAAGATAAAATGCTTTTCTAATCAAATCCATCTAGTCTTCAGCTCGTCATACCGTAGATTTCTCAACCGGCACCCGTCAACGAATCCAGAGTACTCTATGTGGTTTGTCTTCGAGCCTCGGCAAGATTGAAATACTTTATTAGGCCAACGTTTCGGCGTCTTCGCCTTCGAAATCCAGAGTAATCCAGCGCGGCACCAACCTGTTCTCCAGCAGCTCTAGTCGTGTGCTAACTCCACAACTGGAGGAGAACAGGCTGGCGCCGCGCTGAACTCAGCCCCGCGGAACGCGCCCC